CTACACGCCTATAAATTTTGAAGCCATTCTGCTAAGCCAAAAAAACATTAAAAATCGTCAAAGATGGGGGTGTCAAAACGTGCTCGCCCACTCACTATTTTGTTTTTTTTCACTTCTTTTTGTTTTCACTTTATTTCGGGGCCTAAACAATTTTCTTATTTTTTGAAAAAAAAATAATGATTTATTGATTATTTAAACTACATATCTGTAAACTTTCAGGGCATTTGTCAATGCCAAAAAATAATTAAAAATCGGCAAAGATGGCGGTGTCGAAAGGTGGTGGCACACTCACTCATTTTAATTCTCTTTTCATTTTTTCTTATTTTTATCATAGTGTTTATTTTCTGTATTTGCTTTTTAATTCAAATTTGGTAAGGAATTTGAATGTAATGCCCAGCCAAATGTTGTTTAGTTCAATTTTCTCCATAACATTGTGTTTTTGCAGAAGTTTTTGAAAAACTTTGTTTTTTTTTTTTTGGTCCGCGTTCAGCCCAAGCGGTCGAACGCCTTCCGAAGGGGTCCCGTACGTTCGGGCGTTCGGGTTCGGGCGTTCGGCCCGTCCTGAATGCCCGGCAACCCTGTATATATGTACCGGCAACCCTGTATATATATATATATATCATATATATATACATAGATATATATAAAACGACCTAAGATTAGTTGCAAGCTCACATAGAAAACAAAGGCCAACTGCACTAGGTCATGCGATATACCTATCAACTGTTGGAACGCAAAAGTGAGTTCAAATTCCGATTGAATCAAATGAGTTCTCCCGGGGCCAGTCGCCACCTACGAACTGTTGGAATGCAGAAGTGAGTTTGAATCCTGACAGAATGAGATGACTTCTCCTGGGGCCAGTCACCTCAAAGTTCACTGATAATATCTCAAACGCCGTGAGCCTTTAAATACACACAAAAAAAAAGAACTCGATCGTCGCCTTGAAGATGATAAAAGCACAAGATTGTCTCTCTCTCTCTCTCAGAGTCTCTCTCTCTCTCTCTCTTTCTTTCTTTCTTTCTCTCTCTCTCTCTCTCTCTCTCTCTCTCTCTCTCTCTCTCTCTCTCTCTCTCTCTCTCTCTCTCT